CTCACCCTTTCATCCCAGGGGGAGTTATAATCCGACGGCCAAACCCACTATACGTTGGTAAAAAAAAAGCCCAAGAGTTGGCGGTGGGTGGTGATGACTAGCTGCCTTCCCTTTAGTCTTACACTGCTAAATTAGAGACGGCTAGCGCAGATAGCCCTCGTGTAGCTTTGCACAAAATTCAAAAACAAAAAAACAAACAGACAAGCTTTTAAAATGTTTTTATTATTATTAAATGTCTACTGAAGTATATTTACATCCGTTGAAATGAAGTGTGCGCGCATTTGCAGAACAGAAAAAACTGAGTATTATTATAATAGATACACTAGAGTGTGCTATTTGCAACGCTTTTCTGTGAAAGATGGCGCTGCAGAGCTAGAACGACCTTATGTTTTGTTTGAATGAAATGGGTATTTAATTAATGTTGTTTATCTTCGATCTTTCAGTGAAGCCTAATGAAAATAACCAAGTTACTGATACTGTTACACATTAATGTCATCTTAAAGTGAGTATCTGGTCTATAACGTCATATGATCTAATTAAGAATACATATCGAAATGGGAACGAAAAGGAAGGCTTGGATATACTATATTTCCGACAACGTACTACATACTACAGTATAGTTATAATATTACTACTAGTAAGTATAATGTATCAGCAATATCTATTTCAATTTTTGGCAATTGACAGATGACCTTCTGGGATCTGTTTATTAAAGATATGAAAACTAATTCATTTATAATAACTTGTAATTTCTACATAATTTAACAGAATTAAAAACAGTTAATGCATCTCAATAATCATGTGCTATACTAGATTACGTAACTTGTAGGCCTAATTTATAGTATAAAAGTCAGAAATACTTACGAATAAAGTCTCTATTCCTTCTCTAATGTTTCTGTATTATATACGTGTATACATTTCTGATTGAGCTCCACTAGACAGAATAATAATTTAATTCTAACAGTTAAAATGGACATACATTAAATTTAAATTTTACTAGATTAGCACTTTTTCTTGGTTACCAGAAATATCTTAGCCTGACATTAACAGTAGAACATCGTTCGTATCGTTCAAATTTGTGAAGTTGTAATATATAGGTTTTAGTTACTAAACATAATTATTTAAAAAATATATTTTCTTATTTTAAAATTAATAAAGATTAAATATTTACAGATTAATGTTAGCATTGTACTACATAACAGAGCTCAGGTTATCCAACTTTTTGTTTTCTTGTACTTGTTAAACTTTAAAATATTGTTGCGTCAGCGAGTCACGTGACTGGTGTGGCGCCACCTATTTTCTAGAACTATCCTGTACCTTGGCGAATGCTCTAGTATTTGCTGGATATAGGGTAGTCTGGTGTATGAGAGAGGGTGACGGCGTGACGAGAGAATAATGTGTGTGTAGATAGTGAGTAACTGAACTGCAGTCACAGGGTATTGTTGAAGTTAACGTTCGTTCGTTATAGTG